CATAAAAGAGAGTAAGAAAACAGTGCTTTTTAGCGTTTTTACCAACAGTGCCTTAGCATGCAACCCACTGGGTGGATTGTTTACTTCATAAGATTTGCCTATATTGATGTTATTCTAAATGGATTTAGCATTAAATGCACTGTACAAATTAATACGCTTTATCTAATCAATAAAACAGATTACAAGCAATATTATTAATTAAATTTAACAAAGTAGAATTGAGTAATAATTAATCAAATTAATTCCTTAAAAGTTAACCATTTAAAATGAGTAAAGTTTACACACGAAAATTTAACAAAAATATCAGAATAACAGACAGACGTCAAAGATTAATTGAGATTAAACTATTTATATTATGTTGCCAACATTGCAGACACCTGATGTAAATAAGCAGAATTAATGAAGGAGAAAACCGTAATTTTAAAACAATCCTAAAACAAACACTGATCACCATAATGGTGACATAAATGTAAATTTTTTGTTTGTTTGTTGTTGTAAGTTTTACTCATTTTAAATGATTAACTTTTAAGGAATTAATTTGATTAATTATTACTCAATTATAATTTGTTATATTTGATTAATAATATTGCTTGTAATCTGTTGATAAAGCGTATTTGTTTTTACAGCGTGTTACACCGCAGATGCTGTGGAGCTACAAAATGTTAAAACAAATGTGATACAGTTTAAAAAAAATGTCTCATGTGCACACCATCTATTACGTAAAAATTGTAGTGTTCTCTCTCAATGCTCTCTCTACTTTCAGTTGGCTTCGGTCCACCCGAACAGATGGGTCGGTGTCAATAGGCTGCTATTAACTGGACACACGCCTCTCATGGGGCCTGGAGACCAGATCATACTGTACCATACGCAGTTTTCAAAAAGAGGAAAGAAAGAAACAGCTCATTTTCCTGCTGTCATACCCACTTTTAGCTAACCTTCGCTTTTCACACACTCACTAGAAACAAAACAGGTTGAAACTGACTTATTCTTGCATGCTTTGTTATTTTGAGAGAGAAACATGTGGTTCTGTGGTTTGTCTTGTACCTGAGTTTAGCTGCCTCTGTTGGCATAAAGATGATGATTAGGCTTTGCCATAGACAGTATTATATTAAATGTTGAACAATTAAAAAGTAATTGTTTAACACAAAACAACATAATGAATCTTGACAATTTAATCCACTCTCTTTATAATTATAGCTAAACAATTTAAATGAAACATCGTGTTAAAGTCTGATTTAGTATGCATATCGAATACTATTTTTAAATGGTAAGATTACAGTGTTATGCGGTCGTTGGCTGATGGGAATACATCTGCGAGTCTATGACTAAATCAATGAATAACAATGACCTCATGATTGCTCATACTTATAAGTTTGTCCATATAAAAGAATTATAAAGGAACATGAAACAACGTTTTTAAAATCTAAAGCCAAGAATATGAGTCAACCAGTTTTTTAATGTAAAAAACAACAACAAAGAAACAAACATTAAATTAAAAAAATATATATTTCAATCAGATTTGATTACTGTATGCTACACAGAAAATAACCTCAATTGTTAGATAACAACCAAGTGGTTTATTATTCTATGCAATTCTCAAATGAAATTAAAGGGTTTGGTTGTTGATGTTTAATTATTCAGAGGACAGGTCATTACTCCTCAGGTTTCTCCTGGGAATCATCTAAAGTTTTCATCTAAAGATTTTATCTTTTGAATCTACTTCTAATGAATCAATGATTACATTGATTTTATTTAACTTTAATTTACATACAAAAATAGCCTATGCAATTTTTATAATCAGGCATTATACAAATTCAAATGGCCCCAAAACATATTTGAACACTTAAGCCAAATTTGGAATATGTGAACAAATGCTGCTAGACCTTTCAGAATGAACCAAGGTCAAGTCATATTAGCATGAAGTAAGTTCACACAGTTGTCTTTAGCACAGTAACCACAGGTTTCTTCATCACATTAAATATGCACACGCCCCCCCTAACATTTGACAACCAGAAAGTACGAATGTGCAACCTTTCTGTAAAATAAATACGAATTGTTTTGATATTTTGTCATCTAATCCAGTGGCATTTATATATATTTACATATTAACATTCATACGTAAGTATCCAAATGCATTTCGGGGGCAGTGTTGCTATGAAGCACTGAACAGTGTACAATTGCGCCAACGTCTTGCTCTGATGCAATTTCAGAGGAAGAGACGTGTCCGGGAACGTTATGTCGACATCTCAGCAGGGGTTTTCTCCGGCTAGGTGCCACTGGTCAAAGTTTTCTTAATGCTATTGGTCTATAAATCAGCCCCGTTCTCTCCCATACATCAAATGAGGCTGTCGCGAGGCGACGAAGGCGCGGAGGGAGGCGAGAGAGAAGAGAATGGAGGTGAGCCGGTGCCAAAGCGATCATGTGTTCCCCGCAAGCAGCAGGAGGAGAGCCGTGAAGCCAAACGGAGAGGAAAAGATGAGCCAGGAAAGGCAGATGTGCCTGTGTCATGTCTGTTATGAACAGTCTTCCCACCTTGTGGTAACACTGTGAACTGTAACTGCAGGAGAGCGTGATCGAGAAATAGACAGAGGGAGCGAGTGGAGGGTGGGGTGGGGGAAAAGAGAGATAGAGAGAGAGAGGGAGTGTGAGTGTGAGGAAGGGAGGGAGCAAGGAAGGAGAGAAAGAGAAAGAGAAAGGGTGAGGGAGAGAGAGAGAGAGGAGTTTAAACTAAGAGCTATGTTTTGGGACGAACTAATCTGCTAGAGAGCAGTGTGAGGATCGTAACGCATTGTGCGAGCGAGTGTGTGGAGGACAGATAAGGGAAGAAGCCCGGCAGACCGACTGCTTGTTTTAATGTGCTGACTCTGGGGAGCTAAAAAAAAAAAAAAAAATATTGACTCTTCAGTCGTGTGCCGTGAGCCAGGGCACAAGCGCCACATTTAACAGAGGTGCACCAGAAAACACGGGCGCGAGAGAGGAGAAAATACATCCAGCCAGACAGCACTTATAGAGGATTTCTCCTTCCTTTTCTTCTTTTTTTTTAATCTGTTCATTTTTCTTTCTTTTTTTTCTCGGGACTGATTCCCATTTCCAGTAGAGAAGAAGGAGCCGTAGAGCCACGAGAACGCGAAAAACCATCACAAAAAGCGACAAGAAACGAAACACCGCCAACAAGATGTTTGAAATCAGCCGAACACTGAATGCTGCTTTGTTGAGCAATGAGGTAAAGGAATTGGATTTTCTTCTTCTGTCACCTCACTTCTCTAAGTGTGTGTTCATTATTCTGTTGTGCGTAACGTTTCTCTGTTTTATCAGTGTGTCCATGCTTTTAAATGTGGCAGCTGACAGGTTCAAATGAATGTGCAGGGATTGAGCATTTAGGTCCAGTTAAACGTCTGCTAGCTGAAGGCAGAACCTCTTTGCTCTCCGGGCGTACTGTAATGGATGAGAGACTAGACTCGCTCACTCTCTCTCTCTCTCTCTCTCTCTCTCCCACGCACAATCATTTCATTTTCTCATTTACTCAAAGCAAGATAGCTGTAACTGCTGAGCTTGCTTGATGACTTGCCCATCTGGGGCTTGCACTGAGTGTGTGCGTGCGTGTTTGTGTGAGTGTAGCGCCAATGTGAACGCAAGCACACGGCTCTCTATCACTGTGGCAGTCCAGTTTTCCCTTTCCTTTCGCCTCTTGCTATTTCTTTAGCCTGTATGTTTCCTTACCACCTTGGCTAGCATTCTGTTCTCTTCCTCTTCTCTTCTTTTCTCCTCTTCCCTGTAAATGCGCACCTCGCGAGCAGTGTCTGAAGATGATGGTAAGGTGTTCACAGAACTCGGCAGTAGCCCAGGCGGAGGGCTCCTTCCCAGGCATGGGCTCGCCGCTTTCCCCCCGAGATCCATCCAGGCAACTGGGGGCCAGGGAGTTGGGGGTAAGAGGATAGACGGATCTGTCAGACATAAGAACGAGAAATTAGATGGCACAGTAGAATAAGGATACCAACTTAATTTAGGTAAATGTGTGCAGCCCTAAGGCTTGAATTAGCCAATATTTTCATGCCTCATTGTGTGATGATACGGCCGCCCACACCGACTAGATCTTTCTATCAGTTAGCCAGAGAGAAAGAGAAAGAGTGAGAAAAAGCAGCTTGTGTAAGTGTATTCCAGCTCGGAATATGTTTGTGCGGCAGTGTACTGATGCCTAAAATTGAAAGTGCGCCACGTGTGTGTGTGTGTGTGTGTGAGAGAGTGTGTATGCTTAAAGTCATTTGAGCATAGTAAGGTTAGATGGCTAAAGGACAGATTTTTGTGTGTACGGTTTGTTTCGAGCATCATTTTGAATTTCAAACAACTTTCCGAATGTGTTGTTTTGGTGCTCCCTGCAGCCTTTCAGCAGAAACGTGCTTGGAAATGTGTGAAATTGAAAGCATATCCTGTTTTATACTGAACAGACAGTTACAAAACTACCAAGTTCAACAATATGTGAGTGGCTCTATTGCAAATACGTAGCACATTAAAATTCAGCCGTTTTATCTCTCCAATTATAAGTGGACATAACGGAGGATTCTAGACAAATAGCTGGCTAAGGTTTTCCTGATTATAATGAATGTGATTTTACTCTCTCGTCTGGAGCTATGTAAGTGGATATCCATCCTTTCAATCTCATTCAGTAATTTCTGATATTCTACTACAGTCTTGGGGGGAAGTGAGATGGCTGTATGGGAAAGCCCTGGCTGGCTTGAGCTGTAAGCGCCGGTCGGTTAAGAATAAATCCCTGACTTGGTGCATTAAATCGACACGAAACTGTGGGTGTCTAATCTGTGATGGGCTCTCGTTCCTCGTCTCCACAAAACAGGATCAGCCTGCCTGCCTGGAGCCGCACCACATTCTCACACAAATCAGACTCATACTGACAGCACTGGAGCTCTTCTGCCAGTGCACATACACACACACACACACACACAAATATACATACACACACTGCGATCGCATGCAGCTGGGTGTTCATAGGCAGAAAGAGGAGATTTTTAAACCCTTCTTTGCAACCTTTCTGAGGTGTGTGTACACACTTGCCTTAAAATCCTCCACAGCTCAGGGATTTGAAACATTCGGAATATTCATCCTGGTGATTCTTCGGCTCTAAGAAGACAGAAAAAAGAGATAAGGCATGTAAAGTCACAACCACAAATATTCTCATTTGAACTACAAAACGTTCACTAGTAAATCCGAAAAATCGGTGTGATCTAGCAATTAGTCACTATTTTGCATGAAAATCTAAGCAACATTTAATATATAATGAAAATTAGTGACAGGTTACGACTGCGTGAAGTGTTATTCTGGATTTTTCACATTAGTAAAATCTTTTTTTGAAGATAAAGATGGTTTGAGGAGAAGTGAAGCTTCTCTCGGTTTCTCTTTCCATCTCGAGAGACTGTCAACAAACTGCTTTAAAGTTCTACATTTGCACTTTTCATGTTAAAGATAGAAATGAATAGAATTAAACAACAAAATGACTGAAATATCATTTTCAGTTACTATGTCTGGCATAATTTAATTTCACCTGTTTTACTGTTATACAAAAACAGTCATTGTACATTTATATGTAAATATTTATTTTTTATCTGGATAAAAAATATGCTCTTGCCAATTTCCTTTTTTTTAATCACATTTGGATAATAAATTGTGCTGTTTATTCATATGGGGGCAGGGGAAAAGCAGCTGGACTGTTGCTTCTCGTAAAAATCTGCATTTGTGACTCACATGTATCCGCAAATACACAACTCACATTTCAGATTGTAATTAACCAGGTTGAATCAGACCATCGTTACAAAGATTAATTGTGCCTTCATTAACTGAAGCTAGATCATTTGCATACATTAAATCATTGTACAGGGAAGAAGTAGAGGTCTGTCTAGGCATTTTTTTGTGAGAGGGAGATTTTATTCTCCCTTCTCTGTCAATTTTTTTTTATATACATGCATTAGATTGCTCGCAGACATCTTGTTGAGAAAAACGACTAGAACGTTCCATTTGGATGCAGCTTTTTCAATTATATTTCTATATGCGCAGCATGTGTAGAATTCATATATCAAAGTAATGATTGTATTTTTTGATTAAGTAAATCAATCAAGCGATGAAAACACTCAGAGCTAGATCTGAGGATGCTTTTACAAATATGAACTGACATTAAAAGCCAAGCGCAATCACGAGAAACCATGGATCACTAATTTTACCATCTACCTATAAACAATCTGGAATAATTGAATAAAAGTAAAACATTTCATTCGCGGAAGTAGAAAAACAGTAGTTATGTTTGATTTCGGAATCCTCGTGCCAAGCACTCTCATGGGTTCTCGAACATCCAGAAGACATTGAAATGATTTCTAATCACGGTTAATAACCACAGTGTATTTTTTTTTTTTAAATCAAGCATGACACATTGTCACTAGAGATAATTCACTAAGCAGGATACGGTGTGATTTCCAATTACTGAACATTTTCAGCATTCATCACAAATGATGAAAACCTCTGAAATAGCACAAAAGTACAATCATGAGAAAAGCGGCACATTCCGATGAAAATACAAATGACTTGGTAGGGTTACGTGGATTGATCACAAACACACGCAGATTTGCTTGGATTACAAATTTACGATGCTGATTGGAGATGCTGTTCATGCACACACGCACGCACAACTCCAGCAGTCCAGCTACTCTATCAAATGCTTTTGTGCCTGCTTACTCATTTCATTTTCAGCCATTTTTGAAGGTTACGTTCACTCCTAAATTCGTCGGAGGGAGCTGAGAAACAAACAGAGATGAGGGGGAGAGGAGAGGGAATTGAAGAGCGATTGGCAAATGTCTGTTGGCAGTGTGAGAGATAGGCAGGGTCATCTCTATTTCACAACAATGATTAGCTCTGCCCATCTGCCGGCTCGACAGGCTCCTCCTGCTGTGATTGCAGTGTTCTCTGTTCAATGTAGCCCTGGAAATTAGTTCATTTGTGCTGCTCAACCCCAGCCTAACTGTACTGAGAACAGGTGCAGCATTCTACCCCCGCACAAAGCCGTAGCGAGCGTGTGTGAATCCTCTAAAAGAGCAGCCAAGCAGCAAGTAAAGCAGACTCATCAACTGTGAAAAGATTCGCATCTCGCAACACAATAGCAGTAGATTGCAGTGGATCAACTTCCTGTTCAGAAATAAGCACCTTTTTCTCCTTCTAGTAGGACGTCTCTCCTAGCAGAGTTATTAGCGTTCACCTAAGAATTTTGCACATCAATACCTTTTTTTTTATATGACACACTTTGTTCTCGATGCTGAGAATTTGAAGTATTTCTCATCAATATTCTGTCAAAATGAAATTTCCAACGGCTTTGTCAAGAAGCCTCCGTCCGTTATTCTGTGCTAGTGTGAAAATGGCAGAGCCTTCACAGAGAAAGATCTGGAGCCCTGAGTCCTGCAGCTTCAGAGGCCACCGCTATTGTCAGGGCACTTTGCCATTTTGGAAGAAAAGGCCGCAAGAATGAGCTATTTAACCTGTGGGTCACTCGCACACACACACACACAAGGCATTAGTGACAGAACTAGCCATCTTTCACTGCTCAAACACAAGTGTGTGTGCATGTGTAAATGACAGGGTGCAGAAACAAACTCCTGTTCCGTAAACTAGTGATGCAGGACCACCGGTTTTTAATAGACATACACCAAATGTTGCACAGGACTGCATCCAAATGTGAGCATTATGGTGGCGCTCGGCGCTCATTTTGTGAATAGATACTAAGAGAAACTAAACAACGTGTTGCAAATTTTGTGAATACCAAAGAAAATATGATTGCTGTTGTTTTTAAGTAATCTGATGGATGACAATAAAAATGTTTGTCTGTATTAAAGTGAACTATGAAATAGTGAAACAGTGAAATATGAAAAATGCTGAAAGCAAATGGACCTGCAATCAGCAATAATGGCTCAGTTAACAACTGAGTTTGGGTCTAACTAAAGAGAGTCATACAATACACATGGGACCCTAGACATCTTTTGAAATGTGTCTAAAGAAGCATTGGCTCAAGCAATCTGGCTGCAGAGCCATAGACGCTCACAGTTTTGTGTTTTCAGGCATAAGCATGGATGTTAAGCAGATAAACAGGATGAGAGTGCTCATTAGGAAACAAATGTAATGAAATTAAGTTTGTATCGTCATCATAAGGATGCATGTGTGTGTGAATCTCAGTCACACAAATAACACACCTCACTTACATACACGGACTAGTGTAACCCCTCACACCCGGGTCCAACTCGCCCCGCTCCGAGCGGGCCTCGAACCCGGGTCTCCGGCATGAGAGTCAGGCACTCTAACAAGGAGGCTAAAGACTGCAGCCTCTAGCGTCTGTCGCTAGAGCGCCTATTGAGATCGGGGAGTGAGGTTTACTCGCGCAGCAACTACTAGCTGGCCTCCGTTACACTAGCACACCGCGGTGCTTCAGGATGCTCGTGCATGTGAAAGTAGATGAAAAAAAGCTCCATTGGGGGCCGTCACCATTGAGGCGAAGAGCAGGTGTCTCCAGCCAGGCAGAGAGAGAACCAGGGCAGCCTGCCTCGGTTGAGTCTTAGCTCCACCAGAGCTCCCCTCGCCTGGGAGGACAGGTGACATCTGGCCCCTGTGCCTATGTAGTGGATGACGCTTCCTCCAGGGACGACAGTCACTGAATCTCTGAGCCCCGAGTCAGTATGATTTTTTTTTTTCACTGCCTTTACTTTTTGATGATTTCACAGGGACTTGGTGTTGATGAAGATTGGAGGTCTTGAAAGCTCTCCCCTTTTCCTCTTTAAAAAAAAAAAAGTCAGCTAAGAGAGGGGGTCAGCGTGAGTTATACAGGCATCGTGACCTGGAAGTAAAAAGCCTGTGATTTCAGCAGCAGGGGGCGAGTGCTGACGACGATGGTCCCCAAAGAAAACGCGTTCGCTTACCTCTCTCTGCGTACAGAATAAAGGTCTAGTCTTCATCTGGAGTTTCAGGGCTGTGATTTCTGCAGGGAAAAAGAACATCAAAACAGAGGATTCAGTGAACAGCGAGAGCTTTGTGTTTTAAGTGAGACTATTCAAGCAAAGCCATAAAAAGATACAAAATAAAAGAAAGAGCAGAAAAGAGGGAAAATACAAAGGAAGAGTAATTTCTATGGCTGAGCCTGCACTCAAGACTGTTACTGAGAATGCATACTAAAATTCACAGTTTTTCCAAATACAGTGCTGTTTAATTCCTCCAAAAAAAGAAATAGACATTTTAATGATTCAGTATTTCAGGAATGAGGATGGAGTGATTTTTAAAAGAGAAACGTTAAATGCTTACACACGAATGTGTGTTAAGTGCATGAATGCTTGCTTGTCTGGTTTACCCCGTCTTGCTTAAGTACTATAATTAATGGTTTTGTTAATTGAACAGGAATTGCAAAGGCGCCGTAGTGTAGAAAGCAGCACCAGTAATTCATCAATTTCACTCTTTCTCCCTCCCTTTTTCACTTTGCACACGTTACTTTTACAGCTTGAGCACTGGCTGCAAGGGCAACATTAGATCGCAAATTTTACCAGCTACCATATTTAACTCAATTCAAAACTGACCACTTGGACACGATTTGTTTACTCAAAGTTCAAGAAAACAGATTCCAAAGACTCCTTGAAACACTCTAATGTGTTGGATTGCATGTTAAATACATTAAGAAAAGCAGTCGACCCTGACCGGTTGTTATTAAGGAAGTCCAATCATCCATCAGAATGGGCGGCCATTTTGTAGTAGGATTATCCGCTATGACAAAGCAGGCTGTTTTTGAAGTGATAAATGTGCTCTCTGCCTGAATGATAGCCTGTGCCCAAGAGCTGACATGTTGACGAACGGCGCTGTTTCCCCGTATTGATAGGTTCTGAGCCCATACATTTCATTGATTCGTTAATTGTTCAAGGGAGTTGGAGGCGCCTGACTGTCATGAATAAATGATAGATGCCTGGCATGTGTGCATTACCGAGGAAGACCTTTGAGGCGTGGTGTTGCTTCCTCGGAGACGCCAACCGTCCTCTTCACAGCCCCGAGGAGCTGCTGGTCCCCGTTAGTTTCCCCTCACATTAATAATGCATTCTCTCTAACAGCAGTGTTCAGCTTTAAATGCTCTGCCATGGAGCCTGTTCAAAAACATCAATACAAACTCACTGAAATAACCCTGTTTCAGGCAGAGGGGGAAAAAAAAAGAAGTTACATATGCTAATTGCTTCTTAAGGCATTCCTTCTGTCTACAGCTAGCGGCTCTTGTATCTTTTCTCTTTCAGAATCTTTTCCTTTCTCTTGCCTTGCTCTCGTCTGCTCTGAATGTGTAAGGCACCATGAATTCTGGGAGAAAGACAGCATGGATGGAGGGGAGTGGTGCACAAATACTGACGATGCTATTCCCAGGGCTCAGAAAGACAAGGTGATGGAGTATCTACAAATAAGGGAAGATAGGAGATGGAACAGGGGAACGAGAAAAGGAAAAAAAGCGAGATCGATGGCACATTTCTGTTCGATTTTACCCCAGAGATATGAGTTGTACATATAATATCAATGAACGAAAAATGACATACTTTGAATGCTCAAAATCAAATTCTGTCAGTACAGATTTAAAAAAACTACTACATGATTGCCATTTGTCATTTAAATATCAGAGACTTGTAGATTTGTTAGTACAGATTTAGTTTAGCTGCAAGGGGACTTGTTACAATATTGAACTATTACAGTAGATATACATAATATTTGTATACCCATAATTCCTTAATAATTAAACGCCTGGCCTCTGATAGTGGCCGGGGGAGTGGTCAAAACGGACAAAAAAAGGCCGGTTTTAAATTAAGGCCGGGGAAAATTTAGTGTGGATAGGTAATCTCCTAAGTGCCTTCCATAAAATGACGTCATATAACTCTCATTTTCCACTAGATATTTTCCTCTACAGTAATTTCGATTTTGGCACGCTCTGGAGCAACTGACCACTAAGGAGCGGATGTACAGTGACGTGTCATTCAAACTGTGCTTTCGTGCTATGGCTGGCACTGAGCCAAAGATGGACGCTCTCAGCGCTCATGTTATTACACAACTATTCAGTAATCACAACATTTTTTCTTTTGTTAAATCAACTTAAATAATTAATGTGGTTCAGATAACTTAATATTTTGAGTTTCTGATGATTAAATCAATCTCCTTCATTGTATTAACTCCATTTTTCCATTTCATCGAACTTAAAATTTTAAGGCAACCATGTTACTTCATTTTTTTTTAAGTTAAATCAACAATATTTTTTACAGTATAGGTTTCAGACATTTAAATACGTACACTGTAAAAAAAATATTTTCATAATTTGTTATTACAACATTATTTCTTTTGTCAAATCAACTTCAACAATTTATGTAGTTCAGATAACATAATATTTTAAGTTTATGATGATTAAATCAATCAACCTCATTGTTTTAACTCAATTTTTCCATTTCAATGAACTTAAATTTTTTAGACAGCCAGGTTACTTAATTTTTTTAAGTTAAACCAACAATTTTTTTTTTACAGTGTATCATTTATAGCAAAAAAAAAAATTGTTTATTTTTTAGTTTGTAAAATACACAATGGTATCTTTGGAAGCAGCAATGACAATCCATTCAAATATATTTGCCGACATGTTTTATTTATATCAGGTACACAGTGTAAGTAACTAAAGTAACTATGCAGGCTCAACATCGTGATGTCTGTCAGCCATCATGATGGATGATTGCAACTTCTATCGGCCCAACCCTATTATTTCTCAAACAGATGGAATTAGAAAAAAAGGCCTGAGCTTGCTTCAAATAAAAGCCTGTTACCTTCTGCAGTTCAGGTAAATAAAGGCCCCGGTTTTTATTTGAGGAATTACGGTATATTTGGCAGTCATACATGTTCTGAGCGGCAGAATTTAAATAGAATAAGATATAATAAACTATTTTTACATCGGTTAAGACACTCAATGCACTTAAACAACTTATTTTTTCCTTCAAAACATACATATTTAGGCCCCAAAACAGCCCATTATTAAAATTCACTACAGAGGAATGAATAATCTAATGAATAAGCTACATTCATCTTGTGGTAGCTCTTAGCGAAAGCTGGCCTGGTCAGCTCAGTGAAAGCGTGGCCCCCTCTCTGAAGGGAAGCACTGATTAAAGACCAGGCCAGATGGACCACAGCGGTCTTCCTCATCGTGCTCGAGAGCTCCGACTGCGATCAAACACAGCAAAGGCCACCCTACAGCCAACCGTCATACAACTCGATCTCCACCATCGCTCAGTCTCCCTCCAGCCAACCATAAGTGACTGCACCACGCAAATGAGGAGAGAATCGTCAGTGATGTTAATGATCAGAAATGAGCTAAAGCGTCTTGCTCAATGTCACCTTGGTTTGGAGCAGGCCACAATGAGAGCCACCCACCGGGTTAAATATCTGCTCAAGGATTCACCAGTGACACATTTTTCTCATTTTCCCCACAATCCATGAAGCTTTCCTTAATGTAAAATGTAAAAAGTCACTATTATAAGTACCATCAAAATCAGCATGATTATTATTAATAGTCATATTTTTGGACCTAGATGTATTTTCTTAGCACTGAAAATCCACTTAACTCTCAGAGTCTTTGAGAAAAAAGTGAACCGACATGGATGATATATTTGTTTTTAACCAGTTAAATCTTAACTCAAACATTACCAGAATTCGTATCCCCTAAAATATCTCTGATACGAAGCACAACCGTCGTTTTCAGACAGGTTTTTCGTATTTGAACGTGGCGAGCTCCATCTGGATGAGTCAAGCCTGAGCTCAGCAGCCTGACACTTGCAGTGCTGCCTGGCGGTGAAGCCGCCAAAAAGAGTTGATGTGGTGTCGGGGTACTCCTTTGAGAAGGTGACAGGAACAGGAATTGGACTGGGTGATCCTCATGTCCTCTGACAGAAAGAGATATTTGCTTCAGAGGGAGAAAACTTCACCCCTTACTCCCAAGACGAATGAGAATTGTGACAATCGGGATATGTCAAATAATAGAGAGAATTTGATGTGAGGAGAAAAATATATTTGTCCTTCAACAAATCAAAATTGAATACAAACAGTAGGGATTTTCTAAGGTCTGGGTTTTCGGTTTCTCCTGAATTTGAACGTTTTTCTAAAACAAAAGTTTAGCATTTTTATTGACTGGATTTGAGGAGAAATACTAAATAAATTTTAACTAAACTATAAACATGCAGTGTTTTGAATGAATTTCAGTTTTTCTACCAATCTTCTAGTGAATTCCCAAATAACAGGACAAAGTGATTTTTGTAAATGAGTGCAATTTTTAACACACTTCATGACAGCTTGCAGGGGATCTTCACTTCAGTGTCTTTAAATAAACCTGTTACTTTTCAGGGTGAAAATTGAGACAAAATAATCTCACTGGAAGATTTTGCGCAGTTAAAACAATTATCACCATGTCGGTTGCATGTTTTAACATGTTAAACTCTCAGAATAGAAGCCTGTGGTGCTCATGGTGGAAGCAGGAGTGAATGTGAAGTGAATGAGTAAGATGGATATGGTGGAAATCGATAACATTGACGGGACACTGATGGAGCATGCGTAACACACTCATCCGAGTGGACTAGATCTGAAATATTTGACAAACAAGAGCACTTGGATTTGTGGTTATGGCCAACGGAAGAAGTCAGGTGGTGTGTGTGTGTGTTTGGAAGCTGGGAGAGATGGGGCATGCAAGGTTCAGAGTAATTAGTCAGATTGAGGGCTGAAATGAGGCAGTGTGAGAGTAGGCTGGGGCTAAGCATTTGTGTGTGTGTATTTGTGTTAGAGGCCAGGTTGGTGGGATGCTCTAATTGGAGCTAAGCGGCCACAGAGGATCAGGGGTACTCCAGAAACAAAGGAGCACGGGCAGAGAAAGAGAGAGGGAGAAAGAGAGAGGTTGCAGTTCTGGGTGTGTGCATGTGTCTCTTAGTGTTTGAGTGAACAATAACTAAAGTGACATTTTACATGCTTAGCTAGCAAAGGCTTTGACCAAACCTCTCACTGCATCAAAATCACACACATAGCCAAACTCAGTTATGAAAAAGAGAATAGACATTCTATTTGAATTTTAAAAAGGGCAGTTTTGAAATACCATATATGCATGAATATTTTGCATTCCTAAAGTAAAAAAAAAACCCTGCATTTCAATCCACAATTACACAAATCAAATTCCATTTTACAATTCAATTTAACTACTGTATAACGGACATATCCAAGATTTTAAAAAAAAGAATACAATTACAGTGTCAATTAGTTAGCTGAGCATATAAAAACACAATTTTTACTGAATGAAAATAAATCAATTAGCCTCGTTGCTTTTAGCCCGTTACTCAATTCGCATGCTGTTTCACTTTTAATGGCTTTTTGACAGCCGATAAATTATGTGATTTTCATTAGCTGGTCTGTTATAAAACCCCTCCACCGGTGGTCAGAACAGCCATCCTTTAGCTCGGCAATACCTGCATAAAAAGCCCATTTGGCAAAATGGCTGACACAAAATGCATGTGGGTTGGAGGACAAAATAACAGCATCTTATATAAAATGATGCTATCTTAGTTTGACTGCTATTACCTGCTGTTCATTTTTCAGAGAGGCTTATCCAACGTATGATGACTAAATGAAAGTCGTTTACGTGTACAGACACACACATACACTTTTCTGCAATAGTATAGATCTCCGAGGTCACATCCTCCCACTCAAAACCTCCATGCATTCTTGGCCAAACCTCCCACCGTAGACCTCATGCCAGACTAATCCCTAAGACCCCTCCCTCCATCTGTCCCCACCCAGCCCAGGAGTGAACAGAGAGACAGAGGGTCACACGCAGCCTCTGAGTCATACTGGACACGTTCCCTCAGCCTGCACGTCTACTGCTGGTGTACACGGCCTTAATTCAAAACACTCTATTATTGGATGATGCAAATGGGTAGTTTTTCTTCTTCTCCATTAACAGGATTTTAGGTTCAAATTTATATAACCTGCGCATTTTAGATGCTTTGACCGCTCATCATTTTTCACCACTTTTTGATTCTTAAACAGTCTTGTGGTGTGATTCCTATCAATACAAATATTCCACGTATTTTCTCAATTCATTAGGGGTCACAAAAAGTGCATGTGTAATTGTATAACAATTTGAAAACCATTTTAGTTGAGATTCGGCAAAATGTTAAAATGCAGGTCAACTACTCAAATACTGTGTAATGATAGTGATTAAAAACAAAACACTGCTATATTATGCTTGTATGTTTTAGTAATCTATGGAACTTTGAATATAGGGAAATTCAAATTGAACCTTCCAGATGGGACTTGTCTCCTCTTCTATCTGCCTCATCAGCTGTTACAAAGACCAGCAGCTGACATTTAGTCCTTTATAGAGATTTCCAAGAAAGAGAAGGTAGAGAGAGAGAGAGAGAAAGATAACTACCATTGTAAGAATCATTGTTATTTGTGATTTATTGACGTTTCTTTGACTCTTGACAAAAGCAACCATAGTGTAGAATACCTGGTAGTGATGAATATTACAGTAATGTAACAGCATTTCAAATCTATTTACTGTTATTCATTGTTGTTTGTAACTTACTATTGTCAGGAGCTGATCTGTTCTGCAATTATCGTCTGGGAAAAAAAAAAACACAAAGGTAAAAATTTTAAAAGCAAAACATTAAATCGGTATGCAATAAATGCCCTCCACTGAAATACAATATGAAAAATACATCTGCATAAAGGCACTCAGTACTGTGTTTACATCCAAATGAGAGTGCAGAGACCTTGGCATTGACTACCCACATGGATATGTCTCTCTCGCATGCACAATCTCTGAAATGGTCAGATGTAGAGAAAGTGAGTGTAGCAGTATCCCACCACCCATGTTTTTCACTCTTGCAAACTCACAGTATGAAAGTCAAAGTCAAAATACACATTTCCACCTGCCAACCATGTGATGATAAAAAATGCTTGGTGGTATCAGAAGGGTGGAGAGCTTTCTGCTTGTTCTCGTTCAGTTTGGAGGTTTTGAAGAGTTCAGTGAGGGTTTCCATGTGTGATTGCTAAACTCACACAGAACTTACTCAAGTTTGCCTGTGCTATGACGTGAGGTCCTGTATAATTGAATCATGCCTGCATATGAATGAAACGACAGACAGGTTTTTCTCTCTCTGTTGGTGGGAGGGACCTAAATTAATGTCTTGTTGTGAGGAAGATGAAAGGTAATGTCTTCTATAACTCATATGGTGCCACATGGTTCAGTGAGCAAAATGGGAAGCAAACACAATAACTAGATTATGGCGTAGTTTGCTATTATGGGATGTGCATTGCTGTTTTGAATAATGCTATTTTAAGCATTGTGTGAATATTTATGCATTGAAATATACTGTATATAGTATATAAATATATATATATATATATATGTGTGTGTGTGTGTGTGTTGTGTGACTGCTGTCAACACAGCATCCGTTTTTTTTTTTTTTTGGTCAATCTTTGGCTATAGTGTATACAGTATCGTGTGTGCACACAGAATCGAGTTCTCTTTCACGCTCAACATGAACAATAACGCACACAATTATGGCAAAAAATGTCCGTTTTGTCAAGTATCCTCATAAGAACAGTCCCAAATCAGTTAAATAAAGTCTTAAATGAAAGTAAAGAGTTGTGAGAGAATGAGAAGTGTGAGATCCGTGTCATATGCAGCAGCAGTGAATAAAGAACTTGTCGTGAAGCTTTAATAAGGATTTCTGTAACTGTACCTGTTAGATAGGAAAGGCACTGTTAAAATATGACTATTATTTATGGGTTTATGTCAGGATTGTTGATTTTTTTTCATGAGAAAAACCCCCGTGGGGGGTTGCATTTTCATGAGACATCAGTTGTTGTATTATTGGCCATCAGTCATAAAATGATTCCATTAAACAAGCATTTAAAATATACTTCCTTTATGTTGTCTCTACATTACATAAGTGTTTTTAATTGCGATTAATATTTTTTTAATCGATTGACAGTACTGATATATATATATATATATATATACACACACAAACACACACACACACACACACACGAAGCACAACAACCTGCTATTGGGCCAAAAACATTTGACAAGGACAGAGAAATATAAATAGTCTACATGAAGTTTGGGTTTTCTCGGGTCGAGCTCTCAAGTACTGTGTCCCTAAGAGCGAGGCCTGGCCATTTAGTGAGAAATGTCTTTCATTTTTTATGGCTCTGCTGGACTCTGATGCCAAAAGTAGTTCTTGTCAAGTCAGTTGCTCACCGTAAGGGACCTCCGCTTTGGTTTTTAGAATTGCAGGTGCAGAGACGATAAGACCACAGCCGTTTCCAAGCCCATTCCAGCGCTGTGATTTGTTCTATTGTACTAGTACACCAACACAAAGACCCACACCATATTAAAATGACACCTGCATTATTCCCCCACAACAAACCTGAGAGCAAAATGCATTCACACAAAACTCCCCGAAGACCCATTGAATGTGTAACATTAGGATTGTATATGCGGAGTAAATGGGTGCAAGCAGGAAATGTGTTTTGCCCGTGATGAATTCCATATCTTGGTAAATAAAACAAGATCTGAAATCCCTTCATTCGGCGAGCAGTCGCTCTCGGGCAGCCCTCACCGGTGGAGATGTGAAATGGGTTTTGTCAGGGGTGGGAGCGGCTGGTCTCGCGGTTAATTATTGATTCAGTGCGTGTGCAGCTGCGAACAACAGAGAATGTGGAAAGAGTTTGCAAAAATATTAAGAAAAGAGAAAATGAAAGAAAAAAATAATGCATTGGATGACATTATTTTACAAGAGACTGTCCATTTTACCTGAGTAGATGCAACTGAATGTAGTGTGTTCATAAAAGAGTAGGGGGAGCAAAATGAGTCTGTGACATCACAAAATGAGAAGGCTATGGTCATGAATATCAATTAGCTTGTGTTGCTATTGCTGATGTTAGAAATACGTTGCCTGCATTAATAACATCTACGGCACACTATTAAACAAATTTTAAAGATTAAACGACAAGGGTTTAAAGTTAAACCAATTATGGGAGGAGGAGGAGGAGGAGGAGCTTGAACCCACAGCAAAAAGAATTCCAAACTACACACAATAAATGTGAACGTAAATGTGTAGGCCTATACATGTGTGTGTGTGTGTATTCAACGAGGTCTTAAGATAAAGTTTATTTTATCGTTAAAAGATAGTTTTATTTCTCGCCAAGTAGACTCACACAAACAGATGCCAAGTTCGCCTGAGGAGGTAACCATAGCAACAATACGCTGTGACCAATAATAACTGTCTTATTTATCACTTTATTATAAACGTATAAGTCACAAATATATCATAAATCGTTTGTTAATTATTTAAAAAGTCTTAGTCTCGTAACTGTTCTAGTGGCGCCAAATTAACATAGCTTATTGCACGAGACAAACTTCTACAGATTGGTCTCGAAAATTGCATTTATAAGTCATTGCAAAATTCACACACTGATAGCGACCAAGAAGTTAAAAGAACACACACAAAAAAAAAAAAAAAAAAAAAAAAAAAAAACACTGTAGCCTATGTGCGCGTGCGTCTTCCCTCAGGTTCAAATTGTAAATTACATCCCTATCTAGTCATCACAGGTACCGTTTGCTTTTGACACTTCACTTAAACCCAAAACGTTTCACATGTACCTGTCTTGCACATGCAACAGAAGGTCAAATTAGCTGTCCATCAGAGCCCGCAGTTTCCCCAAAGGCGCGACGCTCCCCAGTGACTCGCGCGCGCCTCACCCTTTTCAACAGTCTCCTCAAGAGCAGCGCGCGCCACCCCGTCTGTCCCCGCTCAACCAATCAGATCTCACACCAGCCTGACACTGTATTCCATAAATGGTGTGGAGGAAAAAGGGACGCTCGCACTGCTAGCTCCACAGAGTCAAGGGAACCGATATTTTTTGTTTTTATTGTTTTATTTTGGATACTCCCCCCCTCAGCTACATTAATTTACGAAACAATAGACGCTCGCCGATCGCAGCTTTAAGTTTTCGACTCCATCTCACCATATCTCTCAGCCGACCTGTCTGCATCCGACTGTCCTTGGGTCCACGCGACACCTCTCCTTCAAGACTTTAGGGAGCGACTCCCCCAGAAAACCGCTCAAAAACGCAACGTTATTTTTTTTTAACCGGGTATAAAATAACGAGCTTTTTTTTCTTTTTCTTTTTTACCTTCATCTCCGGACACGAGAATGGTCATGGTGAGTAATGTGCTCGCATTTGAAAAAGATTTACACTGTAGTGAAAATCACTGAAACACGCTGTCACGCGCAGCCTTAGAATAATCCCTTCATCCCTCGTAATACTCCTTCGCCAACTTTGCTCTTTTCCTTTCTCTTAAGCACATAAACGGCGACAATAGGGATGAAGACAGAATATTGATATTTAGAGGGGTTTTTTTTTGAGTGCGCATTTTGTGTAAAGGTGTGAGTGAATACATTATGGTTTTGTACAAAGAGCAGGTGTGTGTGTTCAGTAGTAACCTGTGCGTTCTTCAACCTGATACTCATAACAATTGTGGTTTATTGAGTAAAACATGTGTCGTCCCACATTTGCTAATTACATTTTTTTTGTCCAGTTTATGATATTAATGCACTGACTGTAAATGTACAGAGATAAATGTAAAATGTATGAAAAATGATACAAAAACCAAAATATTATAGAATAATGACCGTTTTCCAGGGCAAAGTTTTAATAATTGACTGCTCATTTGTTTCCTGGTGTATTAATGTTGTGTAAACTAAATTCAACATTTAACATTCATGTCCTTATTCATTAGTTAAGTTGTTAAGCCCTGTTATAAAAGGGATAATGTAAAGTCAGCAGGTCATTATTGCAGAATAAAACATCCTGTGTGTATTGCATGTGATATATCACGCATATATACATATACTATATATATATATATATATATATATATATATATATACAGTATATATAACATACTCCGTAATCACTGCATGCTTTACTTGCATTAATTAGCTGTGCCTCGCAGGGACCCTATTACCATAATGGCTGTATGTGCAATCAGTCTGCTCTAACTCAAGCAGAGACATCGGTTGCGATTGATTGCCTTTGCTGGTTCTGAAAGGGCTTCTGCTCTGCCGAAGCGCCTGTGCCTTCGCCTGCAAGGCTGCCAGAGCGAAAGTGTTAATTTTCCAGAGTAGAGCAGATGATGGAGAGCCGAGGCAGCCAGTGAGAGAAGTAAGGAGGAGGGGGCTACTCTGACCTCACCAATGAGGAGGGGGCAGGGAGTGGGGCTGCAGCGTTCAGCTCATGCTGAAGCCCGTGCATTCACAAGCAGCCTCACTCGGAGGAGGAATGCCCACTCTCTCTCCCGCTGGCCGCACGCTGCCTCGCCACCGCTGAGACACATACAGAGAGAGAGAGAGAGAGAGAGAGAGATCTCCAAGTGAGGAGACATTAGCGCGGCTACAGGCAAGAACTCTGCCCGCCGACTCACAAATGGAGTGGAACGGGTTTAAGATGGTAAGGATGCTGCGGTGGTTTTGTGCAGACAATTGTGTGTGTGTGCACGAGTGTGTGTTTGCCCTTGCTGTGTCTCACTGCCTGCAGCTGCAGTGGCAGCATTGGAGTCTCTCTCTGTATGTCTGTCTGTCTCTCTCTCTCCTTTCTCCTCTTTTTCAATTCTGCATGCTACTCCTCCCCTTTCTCTTAGGATGAGAGCAGCTTTATTTGAGAACAAGGCTGAGGAAAAGAGAAGAGGAGAAGAGAGGAGAGAAAGGGCAGGTGTATAGCAGGTTCTCAGATGGTGCGCTTTAAAACCCTTCTACGATATAGAGGCAGTGTTGAATCTTAATGCTCACCTTTTTTTGCTCTCATCTTCCATTTTCACCCTCATTTTCACACCTGCCGTTCCGGTTTGATCTGTCAAAATAATACAGCCATATTATTCACGTATCGAGTAATGTGGTGATCATTTAATTTTTCGAAACAATTTCCTAAACAAATCACATTTACAATGCATACGTAGAAGGTTGTGTAACTGTGTACTAGCGTACATGCTAGAGTGTAAGTTTGTAAATGAGAATGAGTGGGAGTGACCTCGTGTGTGTGTGTACGTGTGCATGAGAATCTATTAGGCCGTGTGCGAAGGTGTGTTTCCGTGCATAGTGTAGTTTGTGTTCAAGCACGTCTGGAGATCTTCTCTGATAGAGGTAGGGGAGGCTGCACTAAACATGCTGCACTGTGTGTGTGTTGTGTGAGTGTATGTGTCCATTGTTGACTAAGGGCTCAGAGACTGCCTCCCCCGGCTGTCACCAGGCTAGTGGGAGACTGTGCCTGCCAGGAACCAACTCTCCCCGAGAGAGAAACGGAAGAGAGAGAGAGAGATAGAGGGAAGTAGTGAAGCATACAGACGGAGCAGGGTAAGAGAAATCCTATAGGCCTGCGTTAGCACATCATTTAAAGGTGGAAGACATCATAACTGCACCGTTTCGAGCGGCCAAGACAGCTCAGATATATGTATTTACTAACTTGCAGCGACTGTCAAATTCCTCATCTGAGTGGCGCGGCATTCAGATTCAAATGTGGGCAGCATTATTCATTTTTCAGGCAAACGTTTGACTGTTTGTGTGTGGGCTTTAACATGCAATCAAAATGCTAATTGAAAATAGAGTGATTCCCAACAGTGAATCCCCGTCTGCCTCCCTTTCTTTTGTGTGAGGCAGAGAAACATTAGGGCAGTGAGGGGGCTTGTCCACTATGCTTATAGTGAGAGAGGAAATAAGGTGTGGGAGTTAACGGAAAAGAGCTTCCACATAGGCCTATATGTTTCTCCTCCTCCTCCGCAGTGCTGACGTCCCTGCTACTATCGGCCATTACACAGAACTATGGCCACGTCTCCTCTTCTTTCACCTCGCACCCTATCCACCCATACCTCCTCTTCATCCTTAGCCTTCCTCATAATTTCACTTTCTCCTCCAAGCAGCCTTACTACTCTGCTTTAGGGCTTTCTCCTTTGTTGTCCGACTCCAAGGTTGCATATCAATGCTAATAAGGCTAAAGCTGGACTGAATATTAAAAAGGGGTGGATGAGGGCGCAGGTGGACAACTGAGAAAGAGAGAGAGAGCAAAATAGGAGACAAGCTGCCGAAATGCTGAAATCTGGGCAGCAGGGGTGGGAAAAGTGCCCCAGGATGTGTGATGGCTGGGTGGAAGAGTTTGCACCCCTCTGCACACAGAGTGACTACAGATGACAGCTGAGTGTCAAGAGTTAGAGAGGCTCAGGTTGCCCCCCTCTGGCCGCAAAGACCCGGGGATGCGTGTGACACCACTGCATCCATCCCTCACAGTTCTCGCTGAAGGAGAACAGCAGCATCCATCTAACTGACTGCCTTGGCGTGCTTTTGCAACAAGCCCTCAGATGGTGGCGCCGTAGAGCTTCCACCTGAGTGAGTTTAAAACATGGTTTGTTGTGCAAGTTTCGGTTTCAATATTTCAGGCACATAGCACTTTCAGGATTGCTTTTCTGTAGAAAAAGACATTAATTCTGTTATTGGAACTTTTTGTCTAGGTTAGAAGATATTTATCTTGAATCAAATTGGATTGTATAGCTTCTCAGTTTTTTTTAATGCAAGAAACTCTCTCTCAATTTGGCCCAAGAAATGTTGTTTCTATAATATTTAATATGTCTTTATAGGAATCAGAGGATGTGCCAGATGATTAAATTATTATTATACCAGTAAATTGACTCCTCGGCTCATGAAGACACAACAATTGACTGACATTAGATCAGATAACCTTAGATACAAGATGGGATACTAAGACATCCTTTCTCAGTCATAATTTCTCATCCACTGGATTTAACATTTAAGATTAAAGGACAACATAATAGCCCAAAGTCTTTTGTATATATCTTATAAATAACATTAAGTGTAGCCTTTGCTATAGTTTTATAATTAGAATCCATGCCAGATGGCATTTTTAAGTCTTTATGTTCTCACTGCTTTCCCGACATGGTGTCGTTAAAAGAGCAAACAAGCCTCTGTAATCTATTTGCTATGCTCTTCATTCCGATTTGAAGAAGTATCCTAATACTTAATCGTTTTCAACAGCTCTGACAGATTTAGAACACAAATGTAACCTCTGAATGTAATTACTGAATGAGTCTCACTCTGCCAACTGATTAGAGAAAATGCCTTGAGAGTTACTGAGGTAACTGAACATCCAGCTCTAGGGAGGATAGAGCACACTGACAGGTGAAGTCAGAATGCGCTTATTAGACACTTCTCGCATTCAGACTTAAATAACTCAGTGAAGATTTCAGTAGCTAATGTGAGCTTTCATCACATTCCATATTTGGGATCACCTCTGGGAGACTTTTACCCTTAGTGTTCAAATGAGAATTGAGCAAACCTATGAAGAAAACATTGGAAACTGTGCATGTCGAATTAATATTGACCAGTTCAATGAAATGCTCTTATAAAAGCTGCCCATATGAAAGAGATATTGCAAATCAGATCCCTTTAACAACTCAGTTGTTTCCCCCTTGACGGCAACGAGACTGTAAGTCTCCTGCTTCTTAAGTTTGGCTTCTGGGAAAACTCTGCATTTCAAAAGACAGAATGTCACACATTGTGGCAAGATATCAATAGTCAGAAAGCTTAAACATCTCTGATTAAATTATTCCAAGATTAAATAATTGGTGTTAACTGTATATTATTAACATTAACTTTATTGGTTTATCTATTTATTTTTCTAAATAATCTTCAGGAGAAAGAATCTAAGAAAAAGTTTATACTTTGTTAACAACACCTTAAATAAAATGTGGGTAAAAATTGTATTCCCTTTATGTAAAAAAAAAAGAAGATTTCACCTAATGCATTAATAAGGTTCATGTTCGATTAAACAGTGTGCTATGAATAATAATCTAATATAATCGTAATAATATGCTTTCGCAAAGAGGCCTTTTATTATGTCAAAGCTAAATATACATGAATAACAACAAAACGTTCAGGTTTAAATTTTAATAGGCATCCACAGTGATTTCTCAGTTTGATTCATCCTCATTTTCCTTGCAAAGGAAAAGCTGAGGAGAGAGAAGGAAGAAGAGAGGGAGTGAGCAGGCTTCACAACCGCAAGCGTAATAATTCCTCTGGCGCAAATTCAAAGTGCCACGCACAGACAGACGATAATCAGCCGAATATACCCACCACACACAACCTGCTTACCAACACAA